TTTAAAGAAAGAATATACACTGACACATGGTAAAATGTGAATGAACTTTAAAACATTATAGTAAGTGAAAGAAGCCACTTCCAGAATTGGGAAATTCATAGAAACAGAAAGCACATTAGTATCTGCCAGGAGCTGGGGGTAGTGGGGAGCAGGGCCTAAAACCTTTATGGGTATTCTAGGCTTGTGAAAATGTCTTAGAACTAGACAGAGATGATGATTCCACAATATCATGAATGTACTAACACCACTGAGTTACACACTTGAATATGGTTAATGGCTAATTTTATGTTATGTGAACATTATCTCAATTAAAAATATATTCTAATTTGATTAAAGCATGATATATATAGGCCTGAAGTACCAAGGTGAACTCCCCCTTGGACTATCAATATACACATTTAAAAAATGAAAGGCAGGAGGGTAAAATAGGTCTTTTTACAAGGGTGGGTACCAGTGGGAGGTAGGTGAGCAACGGGGAATGAGGGTGAATATGGTGGGTGTATTTTGTATCCATGTATGAATATACAAGAATGAAACCTGTTGAAATTGTTCTAGGGAGTGCAGAGGAGGGAAGAGGGAGAATGATGGAGGGGGTAAATCCAACTGAGATATATTGTAAGCAGATATGTAAATATCACAGTGCATCCCTCTGTACAACTATTATATGCTGATAAAATTTTAAAAAATTAAAACAATGTTCTATTTACCTCTGTGTTAGTTTCCTATTGCAGCACATCTTTACACAAATTCAGCATCCGAAAAAAAATAACAATACCTCAGCTCATAGTTCTATATACCAGAAGTCTGGGTAGGCTTGGGTTTCCTGCTGAGGGTTTCATAGGCCAAAATCAAAATGATGACTAGGTTGGCTTTCTCTGGATTCTCTGAGGAAGAACCCACTTCATGCTCTTTGAGTTTTTAGCAGAATTCAGTACCCCAAGATTCTACTATCAGGATCTCTGCTTCCTTGCTGACTGTCAGCCAGAGCCAGTCTCAGTTTGCTGCAGGCTGCCCACATTCTTTGGCACATAGCACCATCCAGCAGCAGAAGTCTCCTGAGTCCCTATTTTTTTGCTAACAGCAAGAGAAAATTCTTTCTTTGTAAAGGGCTTGTGTAATTAACTGGATAATCTCACTTTCACCATAAAATGTTCTGCAATCACAGGAGTATTTTCTCATGGATTCATAGGTTTCATCCCACACTCAAATGGGTAGAGATTATATAAGGGCAAAAGTCATTTTGGGTCAATCTTATAATTCTGCCTATCATGACCTTTTAGAGAAAAATAATAAATGTTTCTATACAATTACAGAACAATTATTGTTTATACCCAACCTCATTGCAAAGAAGATTTGAAGTGCCTAAATGATTTATACCAAGGAAAAGTAAGAACAAGTAATTTAAGGATTAACAGAGTTCAGATTTCCAAGTCTCAGGGTTAGGATGGGAGCTGTTCTTAATATGTAGGCATCTCTTTTTGAGATATCTCCTGGCTCTCTTTCTCTTTCTTCTCCTCTACTAAGCAGTGCATGTGAATACAAAGCAATTACCAAGAGGACCATTGTGTTTTCTCTGTAGTCATGATGAGAAGGAGGTACTATGGTGGGAGTCTAGAGGAATAGATCTATGTATTACATAAATCAGGAGGTCTTGAACTTTTTCATTCCAGGACCCTTGTTATTGAGGACCTTTGGTTTAGATGGTTTATAACTATTGATATTACCATGTGATAAATTAAACCTGGAAAGTTTTTTTTAAACACAAGAATACACAAGCACACATTCTCTTATCTTACAGAATGATGATGTTATCACACATTCATATAGCCTCTGGAGTATAAAAGGAAATAAAGCCTTAGTAAGATTATGAAAACAATTTTGGCCTGACTTTGATGCTTGGAAAGACCCTAGACTCTACATGGCCTCCAATAGTGAAGAGGATGGTCACAATGGCATTAGTGAAACAAATAAAACAGAAAAACCAAAACAAGGACATAAATTTACTAAGGAAGAATTGCAAGAACTTCATGAGCTATTTGCACAGAACCCTTACCCTGATTTTACAACCAGAGAAGACCTGGCCAAAAAATTCAATTTTCAAGTGTATGTAATTAATAACTGCATCCAGAACAACAGCAGATTTCACTGGAAGAGAGATACAGAATATTTGCTATGTGGAAACCACAAAATTGCACAGTCCAAGCCTATGTACTTTTAAGCCACCAGGATTCACAAAAGGTCAGATAGGCAGAGCTGATTGCTTCTCTCTGGAAAAAGAAAAGATTCCCAGTCAGAAGATAAGCTCCAACAACTCTGGTTGCAGGCACTGAAAAGTATCCAAGCTGTGCTTTGGAATGTTGAGATGAAAAAGGAAGTTAGCATCCTCCTGCTTGTTCTTTACTCAGCTTTGGCTCAGCAGTACGCCTTCATCCTCTTGCATCTGTGCACCTTTTTGATAGGGACAGGCCTGAGGCCAGAGAAAGCAAGCGCACAAGTCCCTTTCTTTGACATTATGCTCATGGTAACTATGAAGTAAGGCAGCAAGAAGTGCAGAAAGAGGACCATGGTCATTGCTCACTATCCTCAGGACAGCAACAGAATTGGCAGTTAGCTGCAGTAACATCAACAACGCCAGAACTGTTAAGAGCCCTTGCCAGTGGACTGAAGACATAGAGATCAACAGCAGCAGTTGCCCTCCCCTCACTTGCAGCTTCAGGGTCAGTTTTCTCAAGCTCATGGAAAGGCCCCATTTTCTCAGTTGTAGCTGTTGGCAGCTCAACATCACCATCACGGCCTCTAAGAGGATATGTTCAGCAAAGGGCTTCAGAGCAACTCAGAGCTCAAATGCAGCAGCTTTGCAGTGAAGGACTTGCAAAGGCTCCCCTAGGGAACCAGGAAATGCAGCTCCAGGAAGCAGTGCTAAATAGGTCAGCCAACAGTCACCCACATAGCACACCAAGGCAAGGTCTCTTCAGAAGACACCACAATAAAAAATGAAAGAATTTTTAAAAATGCTCTTCAGGGTGACTCAGTAAGCTGTTGGTTCCTTCTGGTCGAGAAACAGCATTCACCTGCATTACAGCCCCTGGTCATATGGTTTATAGTGGCCTGGAAAAGTTTGACACAAACTATGGAATGCAAAACCAACCGACTCAAAGACAGCAAGAGAATCCTCCAAACAAAAGCAGCTGCAAACTAAAGCAATTTTTCTTTTAGGAGATTCTTGCCTAGCCCCTATTCTCCATTGTTCCCCTCAGGCAAGAAACTCAACAAGAAGTACAAGTACCAAGGAGCCCACAAAAGTTGCATTTGGATTTTAGAAAAATAAACAAATAAACGAGGTCATGGCATACCCTTTTTATGTATTTCTGGATTAGAGTTGCAGGTAATTTAAGATTTTACTGTGGAGGAGATGGGGAAAGGTTGATCAACTAGTAGTAAGTTATAATTAGAAAGCAGTTCTGGTGTTATATTGCACAGTATATAACTACAGATAACAATAAAGTATTATGTATTTCAAAAAAGCTAAATGAAAGCATTTTGAATGTTTTCACCATAAAGAAATGTTTGATGAAATAGGTGTATTTACCCTGATTTGAACATTACACAAGGTATACATGTACCAAAAGATATGATAACCCACAAATATGGAGAAATTTATGTCTAAATTTTTTTTTAAGAAAATAAAAATATTTTGACATCAAGAAAAATAGTTTTGACCTTGGGGAACCTCTAAAAAGGTCCCAAGGACTTCCAGGGCTTGCTGGACCATTTTTTGAAAAGACTCAGTATGAGCTATGAATACTGCAAATTGTATTTCTTCACAGATCGATCAGCTCGCCTTTTGGTGCATTCATACTTGCAGTCTTAGAGGCAATGCCTTTACTAGTATTTTGTTTCATCTGGCAGACTCAATTTTTGTTGCTGATGCTTGCGAAAAGTGTGATTTGCTACCACAGGAGCAAAACTGAGCTAGATGGATCATAACATACATAAAAGCAAAATAGAGCTCAAAAATGTTTCCATGTGCTTCTGGCAGGATCTATTACTCTACACGTACTGCACGGGGAAAATTGCTTTAAATGGTACAGCTTTGTCTGCAGTGGGATTAGGAGAGCGTCAGGGTGTGAGTTGGGCAAATGGCATACAGAGGTGAAAAAAAAACAGCGGGGATTCGTGTCATGCTTTGTCCTTGAAAACTATGCCAAGACCACTTGTGTTGCTTTGAGTTTTTACAAGGGAAAAAAAAATCGATTATCTGTGACTGCTTTAAATGACTCCGGATTTCCCACTTTCCTTTTAACCACAGGCTCTACTGTACAGTTAGGTGCTTTAATTGTCCTCTGTATTTCCTGCCTGCAAGGAAAATAAAGCAAAAGTATTCTCATTACAGTCCTTCCGTTTGGCGACCAGCTTGTTCATTCTTCTCATGTTTTCTACTTTTTTTCAATGCTGCCTGTAGGTGAACGCCCCAAGCGCTTAGATCCCGGGCTTAATGTCTTCCTAAGATGCTGGAGAAAAGGTTTCGCATTTTCGCCTCAAGGTTAAATCCCTGCCCGCCCGGGTCACTGAGACTCTCAGGGAAGAGCACCTAAGTGGACATCGGAAGGATGATGATTAAAAGTGAGAAAGCGCAACAGTATGAAACAACGCATCCGGGGATTAGGCTCACAGGGAACATTCTAGAGCGCTGAGCGGAAGATGGAGGTGGGGGTAACAGAGCCAACCGCGACAAGCCACCTTGTCCCGACAGGAACCCGACCGGCTCTGCGCCCCGGATCCCACCAGTGCGTCAGGGTCCGTACGCCGCTGCCGCCCTCCCCATTTTGTGAGCCACTGACCAATGAGGAAGAAGCCAGGCTCTAAAGCGCCACTGTGATTGGTTCGCAGTCTGGAGGAGTCGACGAGGGGGATGGACCTTGGGGCGTGCCCTATTTGGGCTGCTCGGCTAGGGAGGGACACGTGAGGCGCCGGCAGCACTGGGATGGACCTTAGGTCCTGCGGCCGGAGGCGGCCGCCGCGAGCCCAGAACCGCCTGGTCCTGCCGAGAGGAGGCGTCACTCAAGGTTACAGGTGCCCGCGCTGGGGCAGGGCCTGAACCTCACTCCAGTTGGCTGAGCAGAGGAAGGGGCCGGGCCGGGTCCCCGCCCCTCGCGCCCCGGATGGATGTGCCCGGCCCCGTGTCCCGGAGGGCGGCGGCGGCGGCGGCCACCATGCTCCTGCGCACCGCTCGGGTTCCTCGCGAGTGCTGGTTCCTGCCCACAGCGCTGCTCTGCGCCTACGGCTTCTTCGCCAGCCTCCGGCCGTCCGAGCCCTTCCTGACCCCCTACCTGCTGGGGCCGGACAAGAACCTGACGGAGAGGGAGGTACGCGGAGGGCCGGCGCGGGAGCGGGAGCGGGAGCGTGTGCGGTGAGCATGCGTTAGGGAAGAAGGACTCAGAAGGGCGATCGAGCCTCGGGAGCCGTCCCTGGCAGAGGGCTCTGGTTTTCCACCCTTCCCCCGCCCCCGCCATCCCCACGATTGCAAGCCGACTTCGTGCCCTTCGCTGCCCTTACTCTCAATAGTTTGGGGCCAGTCATCAGAGAAGGGCCAGGGACGCAGGCCCGGAGACCCCGTGCTGATGGTGCTGTAATGGGTCATAGCCTGACTCGGTCCAGTCTGATCCAGCTGTTCCTGCTGGAGGGAGCAGGACAATGTTTTGATAAAGAAGTAAATACAGCAAGCTGTACTTTGGGCAAGGTGGAGGTTTAGTACATGTTCATTGACTGAAAGGAGGTAACCACTGCTTTTTCTGAAAGCGTCTTTCCCTCCTCCTGCTGCAACTCCCACCCCCCTTTCCTTCCCATCTCCTACTTTGTTTACCTTTGACCGGATGGATATACTCAGACCAATAAGGACAGTACAGGACAAGAATACATCATCTTAATTTGGCTTGATTTTTAATTAGGTGAGGTTGTATCCAAAGATATCCCGCCACTCCCCCGTCTCCATCTCTTGGGATAAAAGCGGATGGTGTCTCATAATTGGAACTTAATTATTTAGTTTTTCTTGTATTGTGATTGCTGCTTCACAGTAGTTCTGCCCCTCAACTACAGGTAAGATGTTTGAGGGCTTTGTATCTGCTGTGGTACCCAGGGTAATTGAGAACACATAGCCCATTATCAAGAACTTTTTGCTGATTGATTTAATCAAGATAAGAACTTAGAAGTATAATACTTAAGTGCATAATGTACTCTAGAAATGTGCTTAACTTTAAAATGCATAGTCAGTCTCAACACTTGCTTTTTGCAGAAGATGTTATATAAACTGAAAAAGAAATTAAACCCAAAGTGCTACCATAAAATCAACATAAAGCAGACACAGTGTCTTCTTCCACGAATACCACAAAGGGTGAAAGCTGAGGTCTGGTGTTCTTTTTCCTAGCAGCTGAGTGGGCACTAGTTATCTGTTTCTTTTTTCCCACTCCTCCTTTTCCTCTCACCCTGCCTCCCTGCCCCAGTTGCTGTAAAATACTCCTCCCATTTAAACCTTATTCTTCCTGGTGTGGTTAGTAGCCAGTCACCACTTTTGATTAGCAATCCAGTAACCCCGCATAACTGGTCAGAGCAAGAGGTGGCACTACTAGAGTCATTTGCAGACTGGCAGGATGTAATTACTCAAAGTCTAGTTTGTTGTTGCAATCGGCCTTCATTTTCAAGGGCACTTGAGAGGGAATTGAGAGTCAGTGTTGATTCCTGGATTCATTTGAATGACATTGTTTCATCCTTAGCAAATACAGCTGACTTTTACCCAACCTTAGATCATCTGTTTCTCAGTATTAAGGATCCCTACACAAGGAACTGTAACAGTTACTCATTATCTGTTTGAATTTTGATACTGGCTAAAACCAACAATAAAGTGAAAAGGATCGACTCTTGTGAGCAGAATGATTTTGCAAGAAGAAAATTACTGCACTGATAAGAAAGTGTGGTTCTAGAGACCCCAAACAACCACTGAACCTGAGGTATATCCCCTGGGTCAGAAATTATACTGCTTGTGAACAGCTGACAAAGTTTCATATGAACTGCCACATGATCTGTACAGTTTGTACACCTTTCCTCACAGGGAAGCACATGAGGGAAAGACATGCCATAGTGTTGATCTTTGAAAGCTGATCTGTTTTGTCTCGTGCCACAGGGAGAAGGTTGCTGTGTGCTATCATGATCATATGCTCTGTCTTATCAGAAAGCTGTTTAGGGCAAGTGAACTATATTTAGAGGACATAGAAGTAAAGTAGGGGTGCCAGACTCAGTAATTGTTGGTTGTATAACAAAAACAAGCATGTTTCTGTTAGTTATTATAAATCAGATGACGGGGAAGGTTGGATGTTAAAGAACTCTAGTTGTCTGAGAAGGGAGGAAGGGTCCTTTATTTCTAAGGACCTTGGAATCACAGCTGATTCTGTTGGTTGTGCAGTGTGACTCTGCTTATCCTGTGAAGAACTCTAGATTTTTAAAATAACTAATGACAAATAAATAGAACAACTTTCCTTCCTGACTTCTTGTTTTCAGTATTGGATATTTGAATAAAACATTTTACATGATTCTTAGCAAAGTGAATATCGAGTCATGTTCAGTGACATTTGTATTGAAGTTGTATTTCCCTTTGAAGACTTCAAAACGTCCAAATTGGATTATCTTAAATAGAGCTATTTATTATCTTAAGTCTACAAGGTAGAATTTCTTCTATTCTTCTACTTGCTAAGGTTTTTTTTTTCCCCTTAGATTTTAGGATAAGCATTAACTTTAAAAGTTACCACTTTATAAATTTGAGTACACTCCAACAGTTGAAAAACGAACTTTGAATAAGATTAAGTTATTTATTTATTTATGGTACTGCAGCTCAAACCCAGGGCCTCACACATGCTAGGCAAACACTCTGCCATTGGACTATATCCTCATCCCTTCTTATTTTGAGACAAGGTCTCATTAAGAGTTGCCTGGGCTGGCTTTAAACTTGCTGTCCTCCTGCCTTATCCTGCGAAGCAGCTGGGATTACAGGTGTGCATGCCCAGCAGAGCTCTTTATTTCTAAACATTTATTCTGTCCTTTCTTGTAGCATGTGGTTTGACAGACATTTTCTACTTTTCTTTGTTGTTTTTAAACCCAGTTTTATGCATTCTGCTTGATGTTCAGGGCCTCACAGATTCCTTTTCTCTCTCTCATTTTTCATATTCACAAGCTTCGTTCATCTTAATGTTATAGTTGTAAGTTTAGCATATCCATAATCTCATCTATTGGCCATACTCAAAGACATGATCTTTATTTGGAATTATCTTCTCATATGTATCTGTTGATATCATTCTGTTAGCCTCTTTCTTATCTTTCAAGGTCCACCTCAAAGAAGTAATCCCATGTTTTCAATTTCCATTGTCATGCTGTGTTCATATATATTCCTCACTCAGTTTCAGAATTCCTGGAGAGCTGGAGCTTCAGGTGATTCTTTTTTTGTCACCTCCACACAGGTTGAATACAATGTTGTGCAAATAAGTATTTATTAAGTAGGTTGTCAGAACTATTGAAACTATCGTGAAATAAACTCTAAATCTGAACTGGAGCTTAAAACTGAATTTTTCCCCTTGGCTTTGTATCTCTGAAGAAAGCATAAGCGAGCTGTGGCCCAAAGAGTTGTACAAGGTACTTTGAATAAATAAAATAAATTCTCTTTGATCACGCAGCATATTTTATCTGAAGTAAAGTTAGGTATCAACAATTAATAAGGGTGAGTAATTTGTGTATTTTTGCCTGTAAGAAGTGCCCCTTCAGGACTCAAAGTATCTATCAAAGAAGTGCTTTCTGGTATTAATGACTTCCCCTTGGGGTCACTGAAAAAGAAGGGCTCTCTTTTGGGGACCCAGAGGCTAAGCTCTGAAGACTGTTTGTTCTTTATCTCTTGGTGATTCATATAAAAACATCTCCATAGAGAATGAAAAAGCAGCAGCAGGCATTAAAAGTAAATTGGAAACATACTAGATCAGTAACAGTTTTCTGACTGAAGAAAGCAGGCACAGAGTGGTTGAGATCCTCCCTCTCCCAATCCTCCCTATGATAACTTTGGATAGTTTACTTAACCTTTTTCTAATGCCAAGTTTCCTTCATTGGAAAATAGAGACGATAAAAGCATTTGCTTGTGTGGACTGTTTGGATTAATTGAAGGCATTCAAGTGACGTGCTCAGCATGGTGTATAGGACACCCACAGAGATTTGCTGTTACAGTGATGATAATAGTGTAAGAGGGATGTTCACCTTTGGGTTGATAGGAGAAAATGCAGGTCTCTTAATTTGACTTAAAGAGAACTCATCTCATCTCCATGCCCCAACCTGCCCCACCCCATCCTACCTTTATTTTTTTTTACTTGGCATTGCAAGACTGGCATTGTTACTTTCCCTCATCTTCATGATATAAGTTGTGATTTTGGATTAGAAGTAGAATTAGATTCAAGATTATTAGGTATTTATTCTGAGGTGAGGGTCTTTGTTGCCCAGGCTGGTCTTGAACTTATGATCTTCCTGCTGCAGCCTCCTGAATAGCTGGGATTCTAGGCATGTACCACTGTACCATGCTAGATGCTTTAAATTGATAATTAAAGGATGGGATTTATCAATGAAAACTTGGCAGTTAATCATTTAGGAACAACTATTATCAAACGTTATGTAACATGTATAAGCTTACATAATATTATTTGAGCAAAGAACCAACCAAAGTCCCAAAACAGAAGGTGGAGTATTGAAGGGAGCAATAGAGAGTGTTTTTATTGGAATTAAATTTTTATTACCATATAATAATTGTACTTATTTGTCGTTTACAGTGAATTTCAACATATGTAAACACTGATCAAATCAGAATAATTAGCATTTCCCTCTTTTTACCATTACTTTGTTTTGAACCTTTGAGTTCCAATCCTGTAGTTACTCAAAAAATATCTAATAGGTTGTTGTCAAGTATAGTCATTCTGCTGTGCTATGGAATACCAGAAATGATTGCTTCTATCTGTTTTGATGCCTGTTATCCAACCTCCCTTTATCCACCCTCACCACCACCCTGTAATAATCACTATTGTATATTCATAACAACTTTTTTAAGCTTCCACATATAAGAGAAAATGTGGCATTTGTCTTTCTGTGTTTCACTTATTACTTAAATTAAGTCCTCCAGTTCAGTTCATTTTGCTTCACATGACAGGACTTCATTTTTCTTTATGGTTGAATTGTATTTGTGTGTGTGTGTGTGTGTGTGCGCGCGCGCACGTGCATATATTACACATTTTCAGAGTAGAAAAATTTTAAAGGAAATTTTTGTTGGTATTATGTTGGGGAACATAATGAAGGTGCAGAAACATGCTGAGTCAGAGGACAGTTTCAAACTTTAGAAAACTGAAGGACAGTCATATCTGTAAAAGTCTAGGCAAAAAAAGGAGTGGGAACCATCGAAAAGAAGAACTGTTATCTCATGGTTGCCTTGCAGTTTTGGTTTTCTACTGAGGCTTTCTTTCTTAGGCTGTTGTCATACCAGCCACAGGTACTTTCTTCCCCATTTGCTAAAACATACATACTTTTGAGTAAGAGCCATTTCTAACAGTTCTTGATTATTCTTTCATACGTGTGTTCAGATACAACATAGTTTCCTGAACAAACACAAGTGAAACCCAAAATTCGGAGGCCATTAAACAGATCATTTGTGATATAAAGCCAGTCAGAAACTAAGTCTGGAATATATTTCAGAAAGAGAGGATTATGTTTTACTTTTATAGTTGGGCTCTGTACTGGCAAGAGAATTTACAATAATTGTAAATTATTAGAAAAAGTAACTCATTTTACACTTGAGTAAACTGCAAATAAAGTCTACCACTGGATTGCTCCACTGTAAATTATTCAGGCTCTTACCAAGACTACTTTCCAAAAAGCATTTAGAAATTGAGGCCACTAAGCCAGATTTGGTGGTGCACATCTGTAATCTCGGCCTTTGAGGCAGAATGGAGAGTTCTAGGCAATCCTGGGCTACATAGCAAGACCCTTTCTCAAAAAAAAAAAAAAAAAAGAAGAAGAAAGAAAAGAGAAAATGGGGAAATGGTGTACTAATGTAGACTTTCAAATGATTACTTAAAAAACTGACTTACTGGCCAGGCATGGTGGCCCACACCTAATCCTAGTCACACAGGAGGCAGAGATTGGGAGGATTGTGGTGCAAGGCCAACTCTGGCAAAGAGCACCCCTGCCCCCATTTCATAATAAATTGGGCATGGTGGTAAACGCCTGTCATCCCAGCTACTATATGGGAGGCATAGATTGGAGGATCACAGTACAGCACCCCCTGGGCAAAATGGAAGATCCTATTTGAAAAACAACTAAAGCAAAAAAGAACTGGAGTCAAGGTAGAGCACCTGCCCAACAAGCATGAGACCCTGAGTTCAAACCCCAGTACTGGGGGGAAGAAAAGTCCTTGAACTAAGCCTTGATGAGTGGGAAGGATTTTATTAGGAAAAAATGAAGTGGAGATAGAAAAGGATAGTCCAAATAATAATATGAATAGTTGTTGCCACTTTTTCTTTGGTTGATAAAGATGAGGTATTTGAAGTATTGGTACATTGCTTAATAAGAATAAATTTTATGATTATTTGGGTCTTTTGATGGTTAATGGTTCTTTATTCTTTTTATCAGGTTTTCAATGAAATTTATCCAGTATGGACTTACTCTTACTTGGTGCTGCTGTTTCCTGTGTTCCTTGCCACAGACTACCTCCGTTACAAGCCTGTTATTCTGCTGCAGGGACTCAGCCTTATTGTTACATGGTTCATGCTGCTCTATGCCCAGGGACTGCTGGCCATTCAGTTCTTGGAATTCTTCTATGGCATCGCCACAGCCACTGAAATTGCCTATTACTCTTATATCTACAGTGTGGTAGGCTTGGGCATGTACCAGAAAGTTACAAGCTACTGTCGAAGTGCTACCTTGGTGGGCTTCACAGTGGGCTCTGTCCTAGGGCAAATCCTTGTTTCGGTGGTAGGCTGGTCCCTGTTCAGCCTGAATGTCATCTCTCTTACCTGCGTTTCTGTGGCTTTTGCTGTTGCCTGGTTTTTGCCTATGCCACAGAAGAGCCTCTTCTTTCACCATGTTCCTTCCTCCGGCCAGGGAGTGAATGGCATTAAAGTACAAAATGGTGGCATTGTTACTGACTCCTCAGCTGCTAATCACCTTCCTGGATGGGAGGACATTGAGTCAAAAATACCTCTAAATTTGGAGGAGCCTCCTATGGAAGAACCGGTAAGTTCAACCTTAAGTTTTTTGTAGTTATTATTTGGGAGACTGACTAATGGCAATGAATCAGACAGGAAACCCCTTCTTGCTAGATCTTGTATTCATTTGGACTTAGATTTTATCCTGAGTTGACTGACTGTATAATTGATTTATATTAGGGAATAACAAATTTCCCCTGGAGTATTTGACCTCCAAAATCAGACTGACACAGATTATATATTCATGTCAGAGATGTCTTGGATTTCAAGGGCTTTGTCTCCTTCATCTGTCTATCCCTACTTCTTGGTTATAAAGAAACTACACAGGAAGTTTTTGTAAATTAATACCTGAAGTTATTCTGATAAATGTTTCATATTTACTTCTAGTTTCTGAATTGAAGCCCAAAGTATTTAAAGATGGAAATATATTTTCCTTTTCTGTGCTAGATGTGATATATGTTACTTACTTTTCAAATGACACTTTGACAAAATTTGGTAGTAATGAATACGAGGAAGAGAATAACAAGAGAAAAAGCTCATATGATGATAGATCAAATATTAAAACGTATGATTATAAAGCTTTCTCAGGAAAGAGAGATATGTCATTTAAAATAATTAATCCATTCATTCTATGTAATCAGGGAGATGAATTGCCTCCCTAGTCACCCACTTTTCTTTTTTAATATAAAAGTTTTTATCAGATTATAAACTGTTAAGGTGCAAGGTTCATTTCTGACCACACTGAAGTAGTCTTAGGTTTCATAGGACATGTTTGGAAATAAGCCTATTAACTAACATCCTTGCTTTGCATGTGGGCTCTGTCAAACATAAAACCATGAACAGAGTCTTGGCTGTCTATCTGGAGTTAACCCAATGGATTCAACCCAACCTCTAAGGTCTTTATTGAAAATTACTCTTTCTTGCCTAGCTCCATTCCTCACCTTGGGTTACAAGCTAGAATTTAGGTTACTATCCTAATGAGCCTGATGACACTCATTGTGAAACTCACCCTTGATCACCAGCTATAGTCAAAGTGACCAGGAATTAAAAATTAATGAAATGCTGATTCCATCAGCATTCTATTTCTTAGGTGACACTGGAAGTCAACAGAGGGTTACTGTGGGAGAAGGAAGTATAATCATTTGATAGGTCCCGTAGTAGAAAAAAAGTAAAGACCCTCTTTTTGTCTGTTTCAAATGTGTTACAATGACTGGGTAAAATGAATATATAAAATGTATATATAAATACACATTTTAAATATTAACACTAACCATAGTTCTGAAGATTTTTATAGACTAATGAGTTTCAAAACTTTTTGGAATGTGACTCAGAAACATAGTAGGAAGGACATTTACATAGCAACCAGTAAATACACATATATATATCTTATGCCCAATAGAAATAAAAGTCTTACAACATTTTATCCTGATACATTTATTTATTTATTTATTTACTTAGTTTTTTAATTTGAGTTCAGGCCAGCCTTGGACTTCGGATCCTCCTGTCTCAGCCTCCCAAGTGCTGGGATTATAGGTATGGACTTCCATACCTGGCCATTCTGTTTATTTTTTATAGTTCAGGTTGCTGTCCACTAAAGCAGTTTTATTACCCACTGATGAATTGTGGCTTAAAGTTTAAAAAATCTTTCTCCTAGGCCAACATGAAATTTGTTATTTATAGGCATGTAAAATGTCAGTATTTTATATTATGAAAAATTATAAAATTTTAGTTAAAACTGATTCTAACCACAAGTCATAGAACAATCAGAGCATCTTAAAAGGTCCACATTCTCACCAACTTTTCATTATAGAGATAAGGATTGGGATCAGAGATTAGCAATTTATGCAGAGTTGCACAGATAACACTCTTAAACATAATTTAAAAACATGCATGAGATCTACCTTCCTCTGTACTTGGCTCCATAAAATCTTAGCATTGTCAGAACCTTCTAGTTGGCTACAATGTGGCGAAAATTAGGATTCAAGCCAGCTGATACAGTAGCAGATGGACAGTTTTGCTTGGTACTATCATATTGCTGTGCTTCTTTGGTGTGTTTGCAGAGAAGTCAGAATATAGCTATTGGGGATCACAGAGCCATCTTAAGTTGAAAAAACCCATAATCAAACTAAATCAGAGTTATAATTGTTGAAGAGTAGATAGGTAAGTGCATGGTTTTATATTAATTTTATAGGAAGGAAAAATGAAGTAGCAAGGGTCAAAGTGGTGGCCCAGTCCACAAGTTACCTTAGGGAATTGTAAGTTGCTTGCAGAGAGAGCCTATTGCTTTGGAGCAAAGATTGTTGACATTATAGGAAGAAGAGCCATCAAAACCAGTGATTTTCTTTGACAGTCTGAACTAGACTTATGTGCTTGGCTTATAGCTGAACTTGATTTATGTCAAATTCTTCATGCATTAAAAATAATTCAAAGGTCTGGGATGTAGCTCAGTGGTAGAGTAGTTGCCTAGCATATGTAAACCCCTGGGTTCCATCCCAGCACTGAAAAAAAATTTAACCATGCATGGAGGGGCATACCTATAATCCCAGCACTCAGGAGGTTGAGGTGGGAAAATTGTTAAGTTTGAGGCCAGCTGGCTATATAGTGAGACCCTGTCTCTAAACAAATAAATAATGTAATTAAATTGTTTCTTTAGCATAAGGACCGGCATATCATTCATACTTAATAAATGATTTTCTTCATATGACCATGCTATTATTTACAGACCAACATCTTTTACTCTTAATAGTTGTCTTTTGTGTGTGTCCACACATTGTTCTGTAAAACAATGACAGCAGCAAAATTAATACTTCTACTTAATAATGTCATTTCTAGATGAGGGTTTTGAAGAAAAAGAACTAAGTTCAAATTGAACCAAGTTCTGATGCTTCTTGGGCAAGTTATTTAATTCTGCAAGTCTTTATCTTTTTATCCATATATCTATTATTTTGAGTATTAAAGGAAACAATATAAAGCTTTCAAATGAGTATGCATAGTAGGCACTTAATGTATGGTAGTTGCTGTTATTAGTATTATCATCTTTAGACATTAATAGCCAAGGACAGCTTTGCATTTAACTGTAGAGGGTCATTTGTGAAGTTATAAATAATCTTTTCTCATCCCCAACCCAACAGGATAAGTGTAATTACTAATAAGCGTGTGTGTGTGTGTGTGTGTGTGTGTGTATGTGTGAAATAAGCAGTTGGTTTTATAAGGAAAAAGACAAAAAAAACCTATTAAATAGAAATTTAGTGTACAGTTGCTCTCCATATGATTGTAGTCATGGCATTTGAGCTGTGTTCCCATTTGCTGCATAGGAACCAAAGCCAGACCGTCTCCTTGTGTTGAAAGTTCTATGGAATGATTTCTTGATGTGCTACTCCTCTCGCCCTCTGCTCTGCTGGTCTGTGTGGTGGGCCCTCTCCACCTGTGGCTATTTTCAAGTCGTGAACTACACACAGGGCCTGTGGGAGAAGGTGATGCCTTCTCGTTATGCTGCTGCTATCTACAATGGTGGTGTGGAAGCTGTTTCAACTTTACTGGGTAAGCACTGTGGATGGTAGAGGGAAAGAGTCCTCTGGCAGGTAAAGAAACTGATCAGATTTACTTTTCCCTCCCAAATTCAAAGTAGCCCCAAAGAATGACTGACTTATTTTGAATTCTGATTTTATAATTTAGGAAGGGAACTTGGAAATAATCAAGTGATGGAGGACTGTGACTGACAAACTTGAATTTTTTATAAGCTTTGGGGAAGCCTAATATAATAATAATTCAAAATTGTTTCTTTGCTTAATCAGGTTTTACTTACTTCTGTATTTGTTATTTGATATGAAATTTTAAGTAGCAATAACTAATACTTTTGTACAATGCCTGCTGGTATCTGTTATGTGTTAATATGTGTGAGGTGCTGTTCTAAGTACTTCATATGTATTAACTCAGTTTTCACAAAATTCCAGATGTAGGTGCAATTATTATTCCTTTTTACAATGGAAACTGGACAGGTAGGTTTACCTAAGGTCACATAGTGAAATCAAGATTCAGACTTGGGCCAGGATGCCTTCCTAACCTGTGTCCTTGATATCATATTCTGTTGTCCCTTTCTAATTTGTTGCCTTACTCATAAAGTTGTTGGAAGGTTCTATGAGATCTGTAAACACTTATTAACTGTACCTAGCACTCTAGCTATCATTATCATCATCATTTGCCAAAGGTGAGAGAAGCCCTTTTTTATGTACTAGATTGCTTCTAGGTTTGAAGGAGAGATGACTCATCCTGGCATGTTGTCAAATCAGAAGCAGTGATTGACTCCTGCCCATGCATCAGCCCCAGCAGTTTTTTCCTTTGCAATGTTTCTGAGTCTGTGTCCTCTTTCTCCATTTCATTGCTGTTTGCTCTAATTCATTCTCTCATCCCAAATTCTCTGCTTGAGTTATACAATTTATAAGTTTAAAGATTTTAAAATTGAATAATATAAGGTGAAATTTTAATTTACTGAGCTAGCACTAATAAAATAACTACATTACTTTTCTCTTTGTTTTGTAGGTGCTATTGCTGTGTTTGCAGTTGGTTATATAAAAATATCCTGGTCAACTTGGGGAGAAATGACATTATCTCTGTGTTCTCTCCTGATTGCTGCTGCAGTGTATATCATGGACACTGTGGGTAACATTTGGGTGTGCTATGCATCCTATGTTGTCTTCAGAATCATCTACATGTTACTCATCACAATAGCAACGTATGTATTTTGGCTCAAAGAGGCATTAGGGAAAGTTCTAACAGGATAAATCTTTTGATTTTTTTGCAAATAACATTAAAAGTTGTAGTTAAAAGATGCAGCTGGGGAAGGCATTCTACTGTATGTGCATTATCAGTTTTCCTCAGAAAACATTTAGGTAAGATTTACTTAGTCTCTTGTTTATATGTTCCTACTGACTTCAGATATATATATCTATATCTATATATATAGATATAGATATATATAGTATTTACATTATATTTTTAACAAATTTTTTCATTTGGTTGGAAAGGAAATTGACAATAGAAATAAGGGCTTACTGTCCACATTTAAAGTAAAAATTGTAACTATGCAGAAAGTAATTCTAGTGTATTCATTGTTCTTTTACTTTTTAAAAAGTTTTCAGATTGCTGCAAACCTCAGCATGGAGCGCTATGCCCTTGTGTTTGGTGTAAACACCTTCATTGCTCTAGCACTGCAGACTCTGCTCACTCTAATTGTGGTAGATGCAAGTGGCCTTGGTTTAGAAATTACCACTCAGGTAAGATCTCTCTTTTTAACTCTGAAGATAGTCTAACATGACCAGAGTGACAGAAGGAGAGCATGCTTAGTGAAAACAAATTCAAATAATATGGACAGATATAAAAGTAAAAGTGTTCTCTCCTTCCTTCAGTCACCTTCCCATTCTTAGTTCTTTTCTACTGGAGGATGTTAAGACCATCATCTTTTTTATGAGACCTTACAGCACAAGGCCCTATAGAATTTCTGAGTATAATTAACTAGCCCAGAGAACTATTTTTCAGTTTTTCAGCTAAGAGATAATAGTGATTCCTTCCAATCTTAGCCCTCCAGCCTCCTCATTCATTCTTTTTTTTTTTTTTTTTTGGTGCTGGGGATAGAACATAGGGTTTCTCGCATGCTAGCCAGTGCTCTACCACTGAGCTATAGCACCAGCCCATTCTTATCTGTACCTGGAATACTTTATCTCATGTCCTAAGATGTCCTGCCTCAGGGTACCTCACGGGTCCCTAAGTCTCATTTCTTCTTTATTTAAAGCACCACTCACCCAAATTCCAAGGTAATGAATGACTTAATGTTGACTAACAGCATTATGATTCTTTATACATGACTTACTGAGAAAACACATGCTAAAATACCCAAGAACAATCTGAATACTTTTTTTCATACAGGAGTTGGATAGCCTTCATGTTTTTTTAGCTTGTAGGTAGGGTTTGCTCTGTACTTTGGTAAAATGGGCAACTGAATCAAGAAGTACCTACCTCCACCCCCACCCCAACTCAAATGATTCCTTCTCTATTATTCCCTCCATATATACATACTACTTAATATCCTATATTTGCATAGTTTTCTTAGATACAGAGACCTAACATGTTAGCAGTAATTAACTTTGTTTTTAAGAGAGCTACTACTAGATAATGTGCATTGAGTACCTTCTATGTGCCAGATGCTTTATATAGAATATATCAAGAAAATAAATGAGAGAGGTGTTAAGTGACTTGTTTAAGATCATACAATCAACAATAGTGTGGTACAATGAGGATTTAAACCAACATCTAACCCTAAAACCTACTTTCAGATGGAGTGAATAATTAAGTACCTGTATCAGATTATTAAAGTTGAATGAAACATGGTTGATATTTGGAGTGGAAATTTGACAGCACATTCTTGGATTTAAATGTGGAATAACATTTTATGACTGTGCTGAAACTGCTATAATTAAATGTATTCAAGTTTGAAAAAACCTGGCTCAGAGATTTAAGGCCACACTCTTACTGTACCTTTGAACTTGTTTGTAAGAATTTCGCAAGTTTTTTGGGGAAGAAATGATAGTGTTGATAAACTAATAGTCAGCATTAAAAAATATTGTCCTAAGGTGAATGCTTATAAAAAGAATTCTGTAATGGAATATGGTTGACCTTCTACTGCCTTTTTCTGGGGGAAAACAGAAGTTCTTGATGGCTCAAGTGTTAGAGTGCTCACCTAGCAAGCATGAGACCTTGAGTTCAATTCCAGTAGTGCCAAAAAATAGCAGCAACAAAAACAAACAAAAAAGACTAAGAGGTTCTTGATCTTTAGAACTTAGCCCAACTTAAGGATGTATGAGGATATATGACTTAATTATAACAATAACAGCACCACCAACAAAAGCAATAGTATTAATAGCGTTAGGAGTATACTAATAAACACTTACTGCATGCTCTTGTTCACTCCTCCCACAGTCCTGTAAAATAGAAGCTGTTGTGAACTCTGTTTTGTAAATGATGAGATCAAGGCTCAGAGATGAAGTATCTCAGGGTCACAGAGCTAGTAAAAAATGAAGTTAGGATTTACACCAGGCAGTCAGGTTTCATTGCTATCATGCTGTGCTGTGTGCTGCTTCTATCTTCAGAGTCTGGCACACACAGTAAGCGTGCAATATTTTTGAAGTTTTTGAGGAACTCTGAATATATTTTTATGTAGAGTTTGTTTATATGTATGTAATACAACAGCTTATCTCTAATTCTGTAAATTATCACTTTTCTCCCTTTTAGTTTCTGATCTATGCCAGTTATTTTTCACTCATCGCTGTGATTTTCCTGGCTAGCGGTGCAGTCAGTGTTGTGAAGAAATGTAGAAAGCGGGGAGATCCAGAATCAAGCTCTCAAGGAACCACCTCATAATACACTGCTGAAAGGCTGCTTCTTATGGCAAGAACTCTGCAAAAGAATACTGCTTGGATGTATTTAATTTTTTAGACAAATATTTATGAATGTGCTTTCATGGCTTCAGAGCAGCCACTCAGCTAATACCTTGTATTCCTGGAGTGATGTGATACTGTTGTGAGGAGCCTGAAGTGAAATTTATTTCATGGATATTTATGAGAGCTAATTTCAGGTTGAATTTTTTTCTAATTCAAAAGTGGACTTGATTTTTGGATACCAAGTAATCAAGAGCAGTCAAACAGTACATGGTGTTGTATACTTGATTAGCAAGTGAACTTGATGTATCTACTTAGCCAATCCCTTGGCCTGGTGGGACCAGGGCTTCACAGAGACCACAGTATGTTACAAGCTGTGATAGAAATATGTTCTATCAGCCCTTGCCTCGTTCAGCTTCATTCTAATTTCTGTGTTATTCATGTGCATTTGTGTTTCTACAGATGAAAATTGTTCCTATCACTGGCAATATTTGCTCTGGTTTAATGTTCTGTCCTACAAGGAATATGTGTCATTTCTGATTTTATTTTTTGAACATTGTATGAATGTTCTTGGTTCCCATCTTGACCATTATATATTTGTGAAAACTTTCTTTAGAAGTACATGTTTGCATTATTCATATGCTTCCCAGAGAAGGCACGTTTTAAAGCCTGCTAATAATCTAAATGAAGAGACCTAATCAGAAAACTTCAGGTAGGTTTGTTTATCTTTAATACTTCAGTATGAAGAACTGTTTATTCCATGATGAAAAAAAATCATCCACAGGCTAAAGATACAGTGAGCCCATTTTGTATTTGCATTCCTTTTTATTTCTGAAATAAAATGAAAAGGACTTTTTCTGTAAAATAATTTCATTCCTGTATATAGCTTTATATTGTTTTGACTTTGTTACCCAAGATGAAGATGTCAGTAGCAAATGGATTATTCCAAGGCCTTTAACATAAACTGAGACCATTTTTTAATTATTTCAATGGAACAGGAACTAGGATAGATTTGAGTCCAACATTTTGTATCTTAAATCTGCCTTTGTTTCTAAGGGTAGAGTATCTTGGATATTTGCTGAAATTAAAATTTACTAGTGAGTCCATTTCCAAATTACTTGAAAAAGAATGTTCTATATGCATTTGATTCTGAAATCAGTCTACCAAGGACCTGCTAATGTTTGTGAGACATGAAAACCATTTTAAAGCCAACTTTGTTGCCTTATTGTGAAAAGACTCTAGGATGGTGCTTTTAATTATGGTGTTAACTTTTAAAGAATGATACAATTGAACAATTGAAAAATTGGAGCTGGAGTTTTAACTCAGTGACAGAGAACTTGCAACATGCATAAGGCCCTAGGTTTGATCTCTAACACTAAAAAAACCCCAAGATTGAAAATTTGATATTCATTTGATTTAAGCAGTAATCCTAGAAGCAAATGTGGGTAAGAATAAGTCATTTCCATGTTCCCTCTTTTTTTTGTCTGCTGGTACTGGGGTTTGAACTCACCTTCCTTTGTAACTAAGGAAAAGAACACTAAAGAACACTAGCTAAGGAAGGAAGGGAAAAGTGATATCATAAAGTAGCAACCTCCAATTTTATATTTTGACACTTTTTTTTTTTTTTTTTTTGCTTACCCAGAAACAAATAGAAAAGTAGTGCTTGGGGAATTTTATTTTATTTTTTTTAAAAAAATGGACTATGGTACAAATTGTTCATACTACCAAAGCAATATTTCCCTAGAATTTAATTCACAGGTTGTGGCACTCAGCCTGAACCTTTACCTGTTTCAAACAAGAATGTGTTCACATCTTGGTATGTGGCCATATTTGTTGAATAATGAACTCAATGTGTTGGTTGTACTGTATGCAGTTTTGCAAAGAAGTGAAAATGATTTGTACTTTTTATTCAATTCTGTATAGATTAAAACTTATTTTTATTAAATAAATATTTTACAATATATTTTCCCTTTTCAATCAAATTTATCTTCTTCAAAAGGAGCTTTATATTACACTTTTAAATTTTTCAGTAATTTTTCCTAGGACAAAATTCTTAAGCTCTCCCCTCATCTAATCTTCCTGATTACCTTTAATAGCCTGCTAGTTCTCCCATTTCTTTGTGATCTTACTTTTAACTATTCCTTCATATTTCTGTTGTTTCCTGTTTTTCTGGTACCACGCTGCGCTGTTGATTTTTCTTGGTCTTCATCTTGGCACCTCTCATATCTCTTTTTCAAAGCATTCTTCTCTTCAGAAGCTGAAAAGACCTCTAACTCCCTTTAATGCTAACTGAATTTTTTAAATAATGGAAATTAAAGCAAGGGCAGAAAGTATTGTTTTGAACAACTCCATGGCCTCTTTTTCCATCCCAGATAATCTGATACCAGGGAAGCATCTTCTTGCCATCAGTTAAGAGTCATTTTATCACATCCTAGAATCGTATCAGTCTTCTCTCAGTTCCCAAACGAGTACTTTTCTTTTAATGTCCCATTCCAAAACCTACTTAAGCCATTTCATTGATTATCACAAAGACCTGGAAAGCTTACGCCAAAAAAGAGGCTTTTTGTCCCTATAGTTACCTCCCTTGTGTCTCACTGCCTTAAAACCCTTCTGAGCAGGGACCTTGTTTTATTTTAGTGTTTGTTGCAAAACATATCTTGGTGCTTTGTAAATATTATGCAAGAAAGGTATCTGATAGCTTCAGCCAATATAATAACTAAATTTGATAGTCATGCTAAATTTTATAGACTTACCAATATAATAGCTAAATGCCCACGTTTTAAAAAGTCATCAGTAAAGATTAAAGTGTCTTATCAGTGCTATCTAGTCTACTGGACACTTAATTCAAGATACTATTGTGCTTCCCCATAATTAGTATCTTACATTTGTTTAGCATATCTTAGCCTTGAGGAAGGGAATTTATAAACATCTTTGATTCTTGAAAAGGATCTTATAGTAGTACTAATTACTTTTTTCAGTACAAAATGCTGACAGGAATTTCAAATATTAGGTTAACCACTCAAAGCTGTGTGTTAGGATCATCGTTCTGTTGAGCCAGTTTCCTTAAGGGAATAATGTTGTGAAAAAATGACAGAACACATAGAAAAACAATTATTGCAGGCATGCAGGCACTGAGTAGGGGGCTGAGAAATGAGTTTTGTATCCCTTATCCATCTACAATGAATTTTAGCTATCATTTCAAAACTGCACTCTCAAAAGAAACTTTAAAATGTTCTAATCAAAATGAAAATCAGAGGCTTTAGCCTCATTCCCTATTTTTTAATTCATAAATTTTGAAGCACTTCAAATACTAAGATGAAAAAGTCATGTTTCCTCTCCTCAAGAAATTTTAAATGTGTGATTGGAAAAGATAAGTGGCAAGGATAATGTAGGTACACAGTTGCAAAACCAGATAATGTGTCAGGTTCCATAACAATGAAAAAGGGTTGTGTCAGGAAGAGAGCAAGAACATTGGGAAAAATCAAGAGTGGCTTCCTGAAGGAGGTAGCATTTATATTAGTTTAGAAAGGAGAACTGTGTAGTGGAGAAAAGACCATAAGTAAACAAGAAGGTCATAAAGTATAGAGGTACAATTAGCAAAGAACATAAAGTTGAAAAGGCATCTTGGGTCATTTTGTAAGGTTTATTAATTAGAGATGGGGAACAATGATTAAGTTTACCTTTAAGAAATTTGAATAGCAGCAGTGAATAGGATGAATTTTATAAGATATTCCCTAAGATTGTAGTTGAATTGACATTGTAATTGGCGAGGTGTAGCTGTGGAGGGCCTTTCCTGACTTACCACAATGGAAACAGAACTAAGACAGGACTGATTCCAGGTTGCTAAATTAAAATTCTAGAATGTGTGCCCATATTTCAAGAGGCGGCTTAGAAAGTTTAAATAACCTGCCCATATCACACATCTGTGAAGTTGCAGAGCCAGGATTCCGATTCCCTCCCTGCTCTGCAAACTGAAGGTCACTTCTGCCAGTCGGTGGACCTCCTTCAAAAACAGCTCCAGAGAGGACTAACGCCAGGCAGGGGAAGAGCAGATGTCAGATGGGTGTGCTGAGGGGCTGCCCTACGGGTAAAAGCCTGAGAAGGGAGCAGCGTTGGAGTCCCAGTAGGGGTTGTGAGACAGAACTGCACAAAACCCCATGGAGTAGCTGGCAACCAAGAGACCTCCTTCACTGGAGGCGGCTAGAGCCCAGAGCCCAGTGCCCCGTCCGGTGGCCTGTGGTAGGGCCCGTGGTGGGCGGGGCCTGAGTGGGCGGGGCCTCCCGCGCCTGCGCAGTAGCCCCTTGCCCGCTGCCGGGCTGCGGCCCCGGCTCCCGGCAGCTCAGCGCCGGGCCGGCTGTCCACCCGCCTGGGCGCGGCTGTCTGTCTTGGCGGACTCAGGAGGGACGTCGGGCTTTGGGGTACCTGGTTAAAACACGCGGTCGGGCGTGAAGTTGACCGTTTTCTGAAACTCCTCCAAAACCCACATCTAGTGTGAAGAAACCCTTGGTGAATATCAGGTTTGCGGGGGGCGTCAGCGACTCTCTGTGTTGTTAAACTGTCCTCGGTAACCAGTATGGACCGCTACGAATCACTCTCTGAAACTTGATTTATTGCCACATTGTCTTTATTTGAATTATGAGTGAAAGAGTACAACCATTTCCAAAGGAAATTTATCCTCTAGAAAAATCACCCCTTTGTCCCAAATACTGAAATGTTAACAAAAACTAATGCTTAAATATTCAAAGACAAAAGTTTGATCATCTGTTTGATACACTTCCATCTTCTGCCTCCCCCACCCTTCGCTTTTTTAAAAAAATAAACTGCACGATTTGACCAATATTCCCCAAAATCCTTGAGGATCAATGTTCTGGAGCGTTGACAAGAATGGACCTTGAATTCTAGGGTAACACTCAGGGATCCAGAACTTGAGTAGAGAAGCTACCTGGAAGTTCTTGCCTGTGTCTTGTGCTTAAGTAATGAAGAGGCCATAGGCCAGAGAATGTGTCCATAGTGGGAAATTATCCAAGTAACCAACAATAGGCTTAACGATCTCCTTCCAACTTTTGTTACATAACTCCCAGTTTTTTGATCCATTCCTCTCCATGCAGATCTTTCTCTGCATTTCCGGCTGTTTTTCTTAGGTGTAGCCATTTCATGCTTATACAAAATAATTCCTTTCTACCCACTTTAATACAAAGATGTGGCTATACCTAATGGAGAAAGGATTCCAACATTGATCTAGGGATAAATGGCTTTCATTTCATTTTCATTACGAGAATGAAAAGACATTCTGAAAATGGAAAGAGTCCGCTGTGGGTTTGAAATTGTTTCAAGACGCCTCAATTGAGTTGTAAAGGAGAAAGGGACACCAACTTGAACAAGGTTATTGAGAATCCATATGGGTTGTTATATAGATGTCAGTCTGGTATCACTTTGGAAAAGAAGCCAACCACTGCGAGATGGAGATA